ACCGATGGCACAATCAATATCTTTGGAAAACGTAGCGATAGGTGCAATCAATGAATTTTGGGAAACAGATCGGCGGAGATATTATCACTTTGAAGAATATAAACCGGCAGTATATTGAATGGTTCTGGAAAGATGAACCAATGGGACGCTTCAGTTATCATGAAGGCTTACATCATAAGCATGGCATCATCGGGAAGCTTGAGGAGATAGATATCAAAGTCATTTCTTATCGTTTCACTCTAAGAAATGCGGGGACTATCTGTATACGGTAAAAATTAGTGGTCCGATTTTGTGATCATTAAGTCACCTTGTAAATGCCGCCCCTAGAAGGCTTTAAGCTTAGCTCGGGGTTTCGACCCTGTGGGTTCTCAGTGATCGACCTCGAGACAGTGTAAACAATGATCGGTCTCAAGGCAATATAAATCAGCGGCTACAGGGGATCGACGTGAGGTTCCCAAGGCACGTGACTAGAGCTGATAAAGTCTATTAGGCTAAGTTCAAACTCGTATCATGGTATTAAATGGTTGTACCAGCCCTATATCTTTATAATAAATACATTTGTACTGTATTGGGATTCCCTCTCATGTATAAATGGGATCCTTACCATTTTGTAGGATCATATGATACATAATATTGAATATACAAGAACATTCTCTCTACTCCCTAACTTAACATATTCTCTTGATCTCACTACTTATATTTATTGTGTTCTATTTATTGTTCTTCCTTTATTCCTCATTATTGGTCATAAAGAGCCACCATTCAATTTATCATAATTGCTAATCCTCCATCGGCTGCCCTTATCCGGGCACCCGACTCGACCTCGAGGCCCCGTATACACAAGCTCGAGGCTCCGATTTCCAACCATTCGGTTTGATTATTATTATACTGTTTACAAGCTATTATCTTATATTCTAATATTTCACTTAGCATCTATTGCCTAACAACTAGCCTAAAAATAGATCACATATTTTTAGAACCACAAAATCAAATCTAATTGTTATTACCATTTTCAAGGTAAACAAACCGAAACCAAGGATACAATTCAATGGGCCTATTAGGGCCTGCTATTCAGTTGGCTCATAAAAGCCCAGTTTTCATGACCCAACACTAATGAAAATGGAGCTACTATATTTAATTGTTTAAAACAATATAGTAAAGCTACTAATATATTAAACTAATTCATTGTACAAGAAAATATAGAGAAAAAAGTGCTAAATTATTATATTTTTTGTCAACTGAACAATGATAACCAATCTGCCTGTTGCTACTTTAACGAGTCTTCTAAAAATGCTATTTTTATTTCTACTATAACACACAATCGTATACATTTTTATGAAGCTTTAAACAGAACTTTGCAATTTCCAGAAAACTTTAACATAAATCTAATATAACTTAAATGGACTAAATATTGTAAACAACTAACTTTGTATGAATTTATACATAACTCCCAACCAAACAACCAACATGATTCGTGTAGTATTCAAACAAAACACAGATTTTTGATAATCAGTAGAGTCATAGCCATGATACAACAAAGTTAAACTTTACAGTGTTAAGAAGAAAAGTACCTTGATAGAAGCAAGCAAACAAGTAGATAAAGAAAATAGGTCTCTGAAACTTGAGTAAACAGCAGCAGGAAATCAAGTAGAATACCCAATAATTCCTAGTCCTAGCTTGACAAAACTAGTAGGAAAGTAATCTAATTTTTTTTAGTTTTTGTTTCTGAAATACCAATACTAGTTTTTTAGAAGTTTTTAAAATTGAAAGGCAAAGAACTTAAAAGTAGTATAGACTTTGTAATTTTGAGAATTTTTTTTATGTATCTGTGAATAGGTGTTTTCTTCAATATCTAGGAGTGTAAATGTATTCAGATCTATTCAGGTATCTATATAATAAAGTAGAAAAGTGTTTATATAGAGTAAGGGAGTGAAAGCGATAAGGGTTAGGGTACAAAAAAGGAATCTGTCAGCATCCCTAAAATCAAGGAAAAGGCATTTTTCCTCAACAGAAATGGACAGATGTCCAATTTCTAGTATCTTCCTATCTCAAAAAATGAACAATTGTCCAATTTCTGGATATTTGAATCTTATCCTTGTCTTTTCCTACTCAGCATTAGGACAGTTGTCCGTATTCTAAAAGTTTCAAGCAATTTCTAAAAGATTTCAAAATTAAAATTTCCACAATTGACCTTTAAGGGTCTTAGAATTGCCTTAAAACCAGACTGGTTCTGGGCCTGAGTCAGGTGACTCTTGGTCTAAAGACTTAGGCTCTTAAGCTTTACCAAAGTTATGGGCATGTCAATCATACAAACCCAATTCATGAGCCAGGTGAAACAGACCATTTTTATTGGAGCCCAATTCCTAAAGAAATACCAAACAAAATAGTAAATAAACAAAACAACAATAGTTCTACTTAATTAATTTAAATACAGCAAACAAAACTAAAGACAGTAATACTGAAATAAAATAAACATAAAACACATAATAAAAATAAAACAGAAAAAAATGAAAAGAAATTAAACAACGACTGTTTTTTTGGCAAAAGATCTAGTTGTTAAAAACCCTCGTGCCAAGACACTCACTGGAATCTGAGTCCCGGGTGAGAGAGCCAGGATTATTATACAAACTATGTAATGTTTTGAAAAAAAAGAGATCTAGCCGTAAAACCCCTCATGCCAATACACAATTTGGGATTTGATATCCCTAATGGGAGATATTGGCACGAGGATTATTATACGAACTAGATAGATTTTAGGGTTTTTGAAAATTTCAAATCTAAGATCTGGAGTTTTCAGTAGGGTATTTTTAAGATCTATGGGTATATTGGGGTTCTAGTGGTTGTGAGGGTTGTAGGGTATGAGTTAAGATAGGTTTAGGGTTTTGCCGCCGCCATATGCGATTTCCGGCGGCGGCTCTAGGGTTTATGGATTTTTAGATTTAAGATTTAGGGATTTTGGTGTGGTTTTGGCAGATCAGTTGGTATGGTGATATTTAGGAGATGTAGGGAGTGTATGGGGTACGTTTGGGTGGTTTTGAGGTTCCGCCACTGTCGTAAGTGATTTTTGGCAGCGGTGCACGGTAGGGCTTGGGTTTCTAGGGGTTTTGGATTTAAGATCCACTGATTTTGGTTGAGTTTTTGTTGATTTGGTTGGTGGGGTGAGGTAGAGGAGAAGAAGAGGAGTTGATTGTTGTAGGTTTGAGGCTATTTGGTTAAGTCTGGCCAGCGGTCATCGGTGGTTAGAGTGACGGTGGATGGTGGTGCGATTTCCGATGTGGGGAGTTTGAAATG